CCGCTGGACAAGCTTCAGGAGCTGGTGCCCACGCTGGCGATGTCGGTGGTCGTGGATGACATCATCTTGAAGAGGGTGGGCGGCTTCCAGCGGACAGTCAATGACCTCACGCTGGCGGCCAGGCATCTCAAGGTGCTGCTCGGCGAGGCCGACTTAGAGATCGCGGTGAAGAAATCCAGGGCGCTAGCGAATGTGCCAGCAGCGAGGCAGGAGCTCGAGAAGCGCCTGATGAAGCCGCTGGGGGTGCGCGCCACGGGGCAAGAGAGGAACTTGGGGGTCGACTTCAGTGGGGGCAAGAGGATAGGACGGGCTGTTCGCCACGACAGGATGGCGCAGGCGAGAGGCAGGCTGCGCAGGATCAAAGTGCTGCAGGTGGTCAAGGCCAAGCGGAAAGCCACCAAGAGGATCGTGAAGACGGGGCTGCACCCGTGCATAGGGTACGGCACGGCTATCACGGGCTGCACGGAAGGGGAGCTGGACCGCGCCAGGACCCTCACGTTCGTCGCGGTCTCCAACACCACGGCGAGCAAGTCCAGGTCGCTCGGGCTCATGCTCCAGGCTGGCCTCGACCCGATCTACGACGCGACCTGCAAGCCGGTGCTGATGTTATTGCGTGCGGTCTGGGAGCAGTGGGTGCCGCTGCACATGGTGTGGCAAGGCCTCGAGGACAAGCGGCCCGTGTCCTGGGTGCACGTGCAGGGCCCGTGCGCGGCGACGGTGCTCTCCCTCAGGAGGATCGGCTGGGACGTCGTCGCCGCCAACCGCTGGGTCATGGACGACGGCGTGGCCATCGCGCCCTTCGACTGTGCGCCGTGGGTCGTGGCCAAGCTGATGAGGAGAGCAGTGCAGCGCTGGCAGTGGAGGCAGGTCAGCAAAGCCCCAGGGTGCGCGCACTTGGCTGGTGGCGGCGAGCTGGAGCCCCTGGTCAGGCTCACCTCCTCTGGCTGTGCCAGGAAAGCCGACGAGCCACGCCGTGAGGAGGGAGCACCTCGCACCAGGGTTCGGTTGACGGCGCGAGAGCAGGCCGACCTGAGGTCCCTCATCATCGACGGGCAGTGGACTCAGGCGCGCAAGGGGGAGAAGGGGCTGGCGCCCAGTGCCGGGTGCTTGAGATGTGGCGCCAGAGGCACGCTGATGCACAGGCACTTCGACTGCCCGTGCTGGAGTGAGGTGCTGACGGTCCCAGAGGACTTGGCAGATCTTCGAAGGCAGAGCGGGAGACCTGAGGTGCAGCTGCTGCTGGAAAGGTGCCTGTGGCCGACACCACGGGGCATCCGCCGCCCGCCAGTATGCAGCGACGTGTGCTGGAAGGGCGACCACGAAGGAGGCACCCTTCCTGAAGGCGAGCTGTTTCTAGACGGCTCGGCGTTCGAGGCGGGCTACGAGGAGGTGGCGGCAGTTGGCTGGAGTGCGGTGGCGCTGCAGGCGCACAGCGACGGCTACAGGGCCTCCATCGCTGGCCAGATGGAGGGCCACTGCGTGGACATCAACGGCGGGGAGCTCACGGCGGTGATCATGGCGCTCAGGTTTGGCCAAGGTGTCACAGTGCTGGTGGTCGACTCCAAGTACGTGTACGACGGCTTCTACAAGGTCGGCAGGGTAGGCACCACGGGCTACGCGTACACATGGGCGCACCTGTGGCGGCGAGCCTGGGACCTGCTGGACGAGCGAGGAGGTCTTGGGCATGAGGTTAGCCTCAGGTGGATGCCCGGCCACAGTACGCGGCGGCAGGTGGCGGCAGGCGAGGTGCTGTACAGAGATTGGTACGGCAACCGACTGGCTGACAGGGCAGCCAAGGCTGCGGCGGCCAGTGGGCGCCTCCCCGCGAGGGACAGAGAACGCCTGGAGAGGAGCCGAGACGTGGTCGAACGAGCAGCCATGTGGTGCGCGGCTGTCGGCAGCTGGGTCGACGGCAGCGACACCACGCACGGCAAGACGAAGGTGCAGCGAGCCCTGCCAGTGCGCAAGGAGCCAGCGGCGAGGATGGCCTGCGTCTGGCGGAGGCTGCCTGGCCAGCGTCCCTGGTGTGAGGTTTGCAGATGGACAGGCAGATCAGGTGAGTGCCCTGGCAGCATCGTCGCCGAGGCGATCAGGGCCAACAACAGGCTGAAGGCGCAGCAGAGGGCGTCGCATGACCTGGTGCTCCTTGCGCCTGTGGATTGGAGGCTGCTGGTGCGCAGGATGCCGCTGGTCGCTTGCAGGGCGTGCGGCTTCACAGGCGCGGCCAGAGCGAGCTCCTTCCACCTAGAGTGCAGGAGCGCCCCGTCGGCTGCAGGGGCCGCCGCAGTCGCGAGGATGAGGAAGGGGCTGGCTCCGAAGATGGTCAGCGAGGTGGCAGTCAATATCACGGTGCTGGCGGACGACGTGCAGGAGGGGAGAGGCCAGTCGCCGCGGGACATCGCGGAGGAGGAGGACGGCCACCCCTTGAGGCCGCCAGGAGGAGCTCCAGGTGGTGGGGCAGGGGAGGATGCGGGCTCACGGCGCCCCCCGACCCCTGAGGGCTCCAGGGCAGCGGCTGGCCTGGGAGGACGAGCTGGCAGCAGGTGTGCAACCGCGGCGCACCAGGCCGAGGCAGGAGACGAAGCAGGGCCTGCGGGCGACGGCGGAGGGCCACGCCCGCGGCGCCGCGCGCGTGTGCGCAGCAGTTCGCTGAGGCAAGCCGCGCTGACGCCGCCCTCGAGGTCGCCGATGCGGGCGGCCAAAGTGGCCAAGCTGCAGCAGGAGGAGAGCCAGCGGACTGAGGCGGGCCCTGCAGAGGGAGGAGACGAGGTGGCCACAGGAGGCAGCGGCGGCAGACCGCCCCCGCCGATGATGGCGGACGACGCGCAGGAGGTGAGAGGCCAGTCGCCGCAGGCGCAGGACGTCGCGAGGGAGGAGGGCGGCCACGCCTTGCGCAAGCCAGAAGGAGCTCCAGGTGGTAGGGAGGACGCGAGCCTCCCGCGGCCCCTGACCCCCGAGAGCCACCGCGGTGAGGCTGGCATGAGAGGGCGAGCTGGCGGAGGGCGTGCAGCCGCGGCGCGCCAGGATGCCGCAAGAGGCGAGGCAGGGCCCGCGGGCGGCGGCGGCGGGCCAGGCCCGCGGCGCCGCGCGGGTGTGTGCAGCAGCTCGCCGAGGCAGACCGCTCCGACGCCGCCCTCGCTGGCGCCGAAGGCGGCGGCCGAGGTGGCCAGGCTACAGGAGGGCAGCCAGCGGCCTGAGACGGGCCCTGCCGAAAGAGGAGACGAGGTGGCTGCAGGTGGCAGCGGCGGCGGACCGCCCCAGCCACGCGAGGCCAGCGGAGTCCAGGTGCTGGCGGACGACGTGGAGGACCACAGCGCAGCGGCTGGCCCGAGCGGGCGAGCTGGCGGCAGGCGTGCAGCCGTGGTGCGCCATGCCGCGGCACGAGGAGAGGCAGGGGCTGCGGGCGGCGGCGGAGGGCCAGGACTGCGGCGCCGCGCGCGAGTGCGCAGCAGCTCACCGAGGCTGGCCGAGTGGACGCCGCCCTCGCAGTCGCCGAGGCGTGTGGCCAAGGTGGCCAGGCAGCAGGACGAATGCCAGCGGCCCGTGGCGGGCCCTGCACAGAGAGGAGACGAGGTGGCTGCAGGTGGCAGTGACGGCGGACCGTCCCCGCCGTGCGAGGCCACAGAGGTCAGGCCGCAGGAGGAGGTCCAGCCGCCCGCAGGGGAACCTGCTGCTCGATGCGAAGCAGGGGCTGCGGGCGGCGACTACGTGGCCATGGAGGGCGAGTGGCAAGAGGAGAGGCTGCCGCCCGCAGGTGACTCTGCTGCTCGATGCGGAGCAGGGGCTGCGGGCGGCGAAGGAGGCTGGTCGAGGCCGAGGAGCGGCGCGCGGGAGCGCAGCAGCTCGCCAAGCTTCGCGGCCAAGGTGGCGAGGCTGCTGCGGGCCGCGCGGGGTGAGACCTGGCCGACAGCCTCGGGCGCGTAGCTGCGCCGAGGCGCGGGCGCGCGTGGGGCGCGCGCCTCGCAGGGGTGGCCGTGGCTTGACGCGGTCCGCCTCACCCCGCGGGCATCTCCGCACCCTCCTCCTCCTCCTCCTCCTCCTCCTCCTCCTCCTCCTCCTCCTCTCTCCCTCCTGTTCTCTCTCCCTCACTCCCTCCCTTCCTCCTTCCCTCCCTTGTTCCCCTCACTCCCTCCCCCCCCCTCCCTCGACCCTCGACCCTCTCTCCCCCTGCCAGGGCATCAGCTATTGCTGATGTCGATGATTCCTCATGCGACGATGGGCTTCCGTCTTATGTGGTACATCGTCGCCACAGCCGTCGGCAACATCAGTATTGTTGCAGCTGCAGCCGCCGCCGCCGCCGCTGCGATCTTCCGTCATCATCACAAGCATCGTCGTCTCAACGCTGTTGCGTTTGCTCGGACGTCGTCATCGGTGTCAGCAGATGCTGCGTTTGTTCTCTGCAGCAGGGAGGGGGGCGATGAAGGAGGACGAGGCTGCAGGCAGGAACTGGAGGAAGAAAGACATGGACTCGGTCTCAAAGATCTCCCCCTGGACGCCTCCAGGATGTGTTTGGGCCAGAGTGCCGAGGCGGGGTGCGTTCTGGTCAGAATGCCGCGGCGGATCCAGCAGCTTGCGACTCAGGGCCCCGGCAGAGGCACAGGAATTGCCCAGACACGCGCCGAAACCTCGACCCTTGGACCTCGAGGTCTCGATATGTTGTCTTCGCCATCGCCGTCGTGGTCGTCGTTCGAAAGCTGGGCGAGGGCTGCTGAAACCGTGGCTGCTAAAACGGCCCTCCCGGAAGGAAAAACCAACTTCCCGGAATGAGGCGCGGCACGCGAAACAGTCAACGGGCTTCTTCCCGGAAGGACGAAGACAACTTCCCGTAGGTCGATTTTAGCAGCCACGGATTTAGCAGCCCTTGCCCAGCTTCCGAGTCGTCGTTGTCGGCGTAGGTATCGGTGTCGTTGGCGGCGGCGGCGTCGCCGTCGCCATCGTCGGCGGCACTCGCGGCGGCAGCGCCGCCGCCCGGCCTTGCGCAACCGGCCGCGCATGCCCAGGCGCGCTATCGGACCTCGGCCGTCGCGTGCTCCCGCGCCCTGGCCATCGTCGCCGTCGCTCCCGCTGGATTGTCATAGTCGGCGGCGTTGCCGTCGTCGGCGTCGTCGTCGTTGTCGTCTCTGTGGTCGCCGGCGTCGTTTTCGTTTTCGTCGTCGCCTTCGTCCAGGCCATGGTCGAAGTCAAAGTCCTCGTCGCCGTCGCCGTCGCCGTCGCCGTCGCCGTCACCGTCGCCGTCGCCGTCGTCGTCGTCGTCGTCGTCGTCGTCGTCTTCGTCGTCTTCGACATTTTCGTCGTCGTCTGCGTCACCCTCGGCGTCGGCGTCGCCTCTTCCTCTCTTCTTCTTTTCGCCGCCGATGGAAGGAGAGGAGGGGGAGAAACAGAGGCGGGGGAGATCGGATGAGGAGAAGGGAGGAGGGAGGAGGAAGAGGAGGGCGAAAAGGGCGAGGAGGGGGAGATCGGATGAGGAGAAATGAGGACGGAGGAAGAGGAGGAGGAGGAGGAAGAGGAGAATGAGGAGGAGGAGGAGGAGACGGAGGAGAAGGAGGAGGAGGAGGAGACGGAGGAGAAGGAGGGGGAATGGAGGATGGAGGAGGAGGAAGAGGAGGAGGAGGAGGAGGAAGAGGAGGAGGAGGAGGAGTGAGCACCATTGCCGACAGGATACAGGATACAGGTGGAGGAGTAGGAGGAGGAGGAGACGGAGGAGGAGGCGGACGCGGAGGAGGAGGAGGAGGGCAAGTAAGGCGAGGAGGGGAGATTGGACGCTGAGGAGGGAGGAGGACTGAGGAGGTGGATAAGAAGGGAGGAGGGAGGACGAGGAGGAGGAGGAGGAGAAGGAGGAGGATGACGGGGAGAAGAAGGATGTCGAGGAGCAGGAGTTGGAGGAGGATGAGGAGGAGGAGGCGGATGAGGAGTGGGATGATGAAGAGGAGGAGGAGGAGGAGGAGGAGGAGGAGGAGGAGGAGGAGGAGGAGGAGGGATAGGACGATGAGGAGGAGAAGGAGCAGCAGCAGGGAGAGAAGGAGGTGGAGGAAGAGGAGGAAGAGGAGGAGGCTCCAGAGGTGGAACGGGAGGGGGGAGCGGGCGGGGGCAATCGGTATCGCCAGACATTTCTCGGGCCGTACCGCGGATGTCGTATGTCGTGCCTCCTGCGACCCAGGGAGGTTGGCCTGGCCAGAGAGCCCGATACCTCGACCTCTTTTTTTTTTCTCTCTTTCTCTCTCTGCCCTTTTCAGTGGTTTCACGGGTATGGAGCACCATCCGACCACGATGTGTTTGATGCTTTCTTCCTCCCGCGGTGTTTCTGGGCCTGCGGTTTCATGTTGTGGATATCCTTGTCGACAGTTGCCCGCGATGGCATGCCACAGCCGACGCCTTGGATTGTGTTTCGTTGGCTCGTGCGTGCAAGTGCGTATGTCCCTGCACACGTGTCTGTGCCGGCATCTGCCTGAATGACGTGAAACAAGGTTGGGGTGTAAGTTATACGCTTAGGTCCGAGAGGGGATGTGTGTGTGGGGGGGAGGACTGACGAAAGCAGTCTACACTTCCTGAAAGTAGCTAGTGTGCACCCTCCAGGGCTTGCGCATTCATCCTCGCGCCCAGCGTGCCTACAGCACATCAGACATGATGCTGTTCATCGACCTCTGATTTGGTATGCCAGAGTTCGGACTTTCTTCTGAGGTGCTGCGAGGAGGAAGAAGGAGGGGGAAGGAAGGGGAAGGAGGAGGAGGAGAAGGAGGAGGAGGAGGACGGGGAGGAGGAGGAGGAGAGGAAAGAGGAGGTGGAGGAGGAGGAAGAGGAGGAGGGAGATGGGAGGGGGAGGTTGGGGGCGAGGAGGGGAAGAGAGAAAGAGAGAGAGAGAGAGAAAACAAAAAAAATGAGAGAGCGAGAGAGGACGGGGGATGGGGAGGACGAGGCGGGGCTTAAACTACCTGCAATGGGCAGCCGCAACCTTCGCGGTGTACAAGGAGGAGCTGGGAGAAGGAGGAGTTCCATGAATGCTCCTAGAAAAGACCTCGGTCGCCCATACTGGCGCGGATATCATGCCGACCTCTCTGCGCCTGGAGCGGCGGGCGGTACTGGGGCGGGACGGCAAACTGCGCATCGCGCAGGCGAGCAGGTCACCTGGGCTGAAGCTGCTTCCAACGCTTCCTACTCCCTACTGGAGAGGCCTTACGACTGGAGCCGCCGACCCTGAACGACGACGACGACGACGACGACGACGACGACGGCGACGACGACGACGACGTAGATTGCACCTCGCGCAGGCGAGCAGGTTACCTGGGTTGAATATGCTTCCAACGCTTCCTACTCCATATTTCTACTGGCTTCCTCCGGCCGGTTGATCGGTCACTTGGGTTGTGAGCGCGCTGCATGTTCTTGCTGCCCAAACGTGCCGCACTGCGCCGCAACCCGACAGGTACAAGAACCGGATGCTGGTCGTTGGCGGGCACGACGGGGCCAAGCATCTGAATGAGGGGAGGGTTGGCCGATGATCTTTCCTCCTTTTTGCCCCCCAGACCAGCAGGTGTTGTCGCAAACATCACGACGGTCGTTTCTGTTTGAGCTTGGTCACTCTGGAGGCCCGTTTCGTGCCTCGGGGCCATCAACAGGCGGCCCGCGGGGAAATATGTATCGCGGGGACTCCAGAATTACACGGACTGAACAGCATCACGACGTCGGAGATTGGGCGCTCTTTCGTCCTCTTGGCCTCAGTGTTTTCTTCTCCTCTTCTCCTCGGCGTTCGCAGGCATCCTTCATAACTCCGTCGCGGACAGCTCACAGCACAGTCGGCAGTTGCTGATCGATTGCCCTGGGCCTATGCAGGTTCCACAGCTTATCCGCAGTTTGCTCATGAATTGCTCGCGTCTGACTCGTTGCTGGCTCGCAGCATTACCATTGTCTGAACTGATCGACTCATGACCGCTTAAGAGGCAGTTTGCTTGCCCCAATCGTTGCTTTCTCGTCGCCTTCGTCTGGATCCAGAGGAGTGCCTTGCGCAGCTGCGCTTTACTCGTGCCTCATGGAGAATCATGTCGTTGCGGTGTCTTGCCTTGAACCTGGGATTAGTGATATACGTGGCCAGTGCCAGTATGTGCCATTGGCCAGTGACTTGCGGCTGCGATGCAGCGACCAATGGGGGCCGGCAGGATTTCTACCAGTTCAATTTCGATACGTCGGAGTGGCCTCCTCAGCCCCGAACCGCCTGATCGCGTCTGCGATCCCTGTACATACTTGAGCATCTGAGATGGGGGTGGGTGTGATTATGAGGCACATGTTTGATCTTGGCTTCGCATCGTCACCGATGCTACAGAGCGGCTAGCAGCATGGCCATGTTGTCGAAGGCGGCTCATGGAGTCCCGCTTTGATTTAGGCGCGCCTTAGGTGCAACGGGGGAGGGGCAGCGCGTGGCAAAGCATGCAGGGGCCGCCTACGATCCGATTCGATGCGATGCGATTCGCGGGTTGGGGCCGCGAGTCCGACTCGCCTCGAGCCACGGGCATTGGCCGGGGCCAGCGGGAGCCAGGCGCGGCGACCCGATGTCGATTGGATTCGGGACGATCCCCTGGCGAGCCGATGTGCTTCGATCCCACCCGGTCTCGCGACTCGGTGCATCCAGGGTGGGCCGTGTCCTGAGGGCGCCTGGTCAGCGGGGGCTCAAGCGGGGACCCCTTTCGCCATCACGCCCAGTCGAGGGAACGCAGACATGGACCAGGCCGCGTGGATTGCAGCGGAGGCCCGTGCCAAGAAACACCCTGCTCGCCTCCAGGGTGCCCTGGGTTCTTGGGTTTCGATGCTTTTTCCATGGAGAGCGTGACGTTCCCACGCCAAACATCGATGGACGTGCTAGGGTCTGAGGGTTGGGTTTCTCGTGGCAGCTTTCTTGTGGACTGGCCTCCACCGTAGCGATTAGCGGCGGGCCCTGTGTCCATCCGACATCGACGCGCTCCGGCGCCAGACGAGGCAGGACCGGCCTCGTGTTTCGGGGCGTACCGTTTCACCGATCCGCGGATTTGGCGCCCCTGCGCCAGGTCCACGGATTCGTAGTCCATGCCAGCGTGCGCCCGAGCCAGGGGCAGGGGACGCAGGAGGAAGCAATGCCGATGCGGCTGCCCCCCGTCGCCACGGCTGCATCCGCCTCGAAACTCTGGTCCGAAGCAACCCCGCGAGAGGTCGGGGGAGCAGCGGCATCGGTACTTGTTCGTTCCCCAGGGCCAGGGCGGCCGCGCTAAGAAGACCGAGTCGCTCTCTGAGGCCGGTCGGGCGGGAAGGAAGGCCAGAATGGTGGGCTTGTTTTCCACCGCCACCACCATAAGTAGGAGGGGGAGGGGGTCCTCTTCTTCCTCCTCCTCCTCCTTTTCCTCCACCTCCTTCCCCCCTCCAACTTACGGAGGTGGTGGTGGAAAGCAGGCCCATCACAGAGCCTGCTCCTGCACACGGTCTGGACAGCATGCGGGGCGTCGGAGTCGCTAGATGCTGCCGTGCCGCGCGCCCCCTTCCGGGGCTGGCTCCCGATCTTGGGGCTCGAATCGGGACGATCCACGACAAGTAGTGCGGAGAGAATGGGTTCAAAGAAGGGAAACAAACAATGACACAAACAAAAACTCGGAGGTCCGCGCGGATTCCTCGGATCGGCGCTGCGGCCCCCTTGGCGATGCCTCCAGCGCCGCCTCTGGCGCGCTCCTTGCGCCTTGCGCCTGGGAGGGGGGTCCAGCGCCGATCCGAGGAATCCGCGCAGATCTTCGAGCTTTTATGTTTATGTCATTGTTTGGTCCCCTAGACAAAGACCCACAGCATTTCCTGCTCATTTCGAACAGGGCTCATTCGAGCCAGAAGGCCGCCTGCTCAACCGCGGCCGCTGTCGATTTTGAGCAACACGTGTATGCGGGCATCGTACCGTGGAAACCCATGCCAGAAACTCCCTGCTTGGCCTCCAGTGTGCCCTGAGTTCCTTGTGTGTTCGATGGTTTCGCGATGGAGAACGTGACACCAAAAAACAATGGACGTCCCGGGGTCTCGGGATTGAGGGCGGCGGCAAAGAGGCCACTGCCAGGGTGGGGGTGTCACGCTCAGTGCAGGACGAGGTCGTTCAAACAAGTGATAAGGCCAACATCTTTCAAAAAGCTTGGTATGGCTGATGGTTTTGGCCTTCTGGGAAGCATCCTGGAAGTCCGCTTTGAGCCATCTTGGGGCGTCTTGTGGAAGGTTTCTTGTGGCCGAGCTCCTACTGTACCCAGCTTTCCCTTACCCATGTCGAGCGGCCAAGTCGAAGCCCGGCCTCCGAAGACCCCAACCTTCCAGGGGGGCAGAGAGTATCGGTGGCACGCGCGCCGTGCTCGAAGCTGTGCGTGCTGCTCATCCGCGCTTCGTGCAAAAGCCTGGCGCTTCATCCTTCAGTAGCACGCTGCTGCGGTCGCCTGGCCGGCGTGACGTCGATACTGATGATGATCCCCGGAGCGAGGCGACAAGCTGGCCGCCTCGATTTTTGCGCTCGAGCCGCTCGGTGTTCCGCCAGTGCCTCCGCTCGGCCGCGCCGCCCTGGTGCCAGCGCCTCCGAGGTGGAGCACCGTGGAGACCACGGGCGCGCGCCGCGCGCTGTTCCACCGCCGCGCGCGCGCGGCGCGGAGGTCTTCGTCTTCGTCGCCGTCGTCATCGTCGTCGCGACCGAAGGCCGATGTTAAAGACGAGGTGGACGAGCGGAACGATTCAGAGAGACGAGGAGTGGAGCAGGCGGAGGAGGAGGACGACTGCGAAGACCTTCAGCAAGTGCCTCCGACCCTGAAGGGACACGACGACGACGATGACGATGACGACGACGACGACGACGACGACGACGACGACGACGACGACGACGACGACGACGACGACGACGACGACGACGACGACGACGACGACGACGACGACGACGACGACGACGACGACGACGACGACGACGACGACGACGACGACGACGACGACGACGACGACGACGACGACGACGACGACGACGACGACGACGACGACGACGACGACGACGACGACGACGACGACGGCGGCGGCGGCGGCGGCGGCGGCGGCGGCGGCGGCGGCGGCGACGTGGGCCAGAGCCCTCAGGGATGCTGCCTGGGGTATCTTCGGAAGGCTCTCGGCGGCCTCTGCAGAGGAATTTTGGGCCCCCTTTTAAGCCTCTTGGTGAGCCTCTTGGTGACTTCTGCGGGCTTCCTGCGGACCTCTTGTGGGCCTGTTGGGGCCTCTTGGGACCCTCGGGGGGCCTCCTGGAGCCTCTCGGGGAGGGCTCAAAATGTCCGTTCGGGACTCCCTCCCTTTGAGGCGCGCTCTTGGAGCCGTTTTGAGGGCTTGTTGTGCCGCCTTGGAGCGTTATGTGCTGTCTTGGGGTCCTCTTGGGCTGTTTGGGTGCCCTCTTGTAGCCCTCTTTGGCCGTTTTCGGGCGATCTCGGGGGCCTCTTGCGCCGTTTTGTAGCGGCGGGAATTGGAAAAAGCGAGAGCGCCCAACTTCCAACAACAAAAACAACGAAATGAACACCAAATTATGTTTTGCCATTTGCGCAGATTTGCAGCGGGCAATGTTTCCCTTGTAGAAGGCATGCAACATTAACACCCAAGAAAGGGGAGACATGTTATTTCAAAGCAACCTTGAAATAACATCGTAACGGGTTCGGCTCCATACCGCTTGTGGCGCAAAAGCCTGTCATTCTCTACCGGCACTATATTTGCATGGTAGCGGAGCCTTCCGCCTCCGTGGGTTGCGGCTTCGAGCTGTGTCCCCCGCGATCCTCGCTTGCGAAATGGTGACGCTTTCTGATCTGGGGACTTCGCCGAGTGCAGCAGAAGAGAATGCGGTGGGCACCACGTCAATTTCCCCAGGGCTGTAAGCATGACGCGTAGGTGATCAGGAGCTAAGTCGATCGGGAGTCCGAGCGCGATCGTTTTTTTTGAGGCTGTGACATCAGAGCATATGATGGATCACATAAATTAATGTTTGCCGTGGCCGCCAATGCTGACAGCTCAAGTGCAGAAAGCGGAGGCGGAGAAATCGAGATTGCAGCGTCAGCATCAAGATGGCACTGGATGTCCCCAAGTGGGTCCAAACCTTGCAGGCGTTGGTGGAGAACGTTCCAACAGCACGCCTGGTTTGGTTGGTCATCGCGGCATTGGGAAATCTTCCTGGAAACTCGGGTGATGGAAACAAGTTTCGAGAACTGGCCAATACGTTTGAAGCCGTCGTCGTTTCCATTTACGGAGACCGCCCACGTGAAGTACTCGCATGGGCCGCTGAACGTCCGGAGGAGATTTCGATAGGAGCCTTGGGTGTGTTTTTTTTCGGTGACGCTACGGATGAGCCAAGAGAGATCGCGAGCAACAGTAATTTCCAGATGCACGCAGCACTGCAACAGCTATGGCCTGAAGTGCCGAATAGTATCGTACACAATGCGAATGGATATGACAGTTTCGAGTGATGGCGGGAAGTATATCGGCAATGCGATCCGGCGACTGGGAGTCGGGCGAGAGTTATGCTGCGCACCCCGCTGATGCGAGGTTACGCGAGCATTCGCGAGCTTGGGTCAGACGGTGCGTTGACGACGTGGGCGAGAAGGAGCGCGAGAACGGTTGCCGCGAGAGATCCGCACGCTTGCGTCGGAAACTTTGTTGCGTGGCGATTTGGTCAAGCAATTCATCGCGAAGCGCACCTGGGGTCGAGTCCGGGATGCGCAGATTGTTGGACAGCCAGGGGCGCCGCGACATCGAGGAGCTGACGGCGCGGTCGCTAGATATTTTCAGAGTCGCGGCCACCAGCGGCGGGGCAAAGGTGCCGCAAAACAGGCAACATACACGGAGGCTGGAAGGGCGAAGCAGGAAAGGCGAAGCGCGCGAGAGTGATCGCGCGCGCCGGTCAGTGGCAAGCCGGGCCACGAGGCGAAGAACTGTTGGATGGCGCCCCAGGCGCCCGGCGACAGCGCTGGAGACCGTAACGGGAATGGCAAGGGCAAGGAAGGCACAAAGAGCAAGAGGGACGCGGCAGTCTAGATGGAGACGAGCAGGGAGATTAGCAGCCAGAGCCAGAAGGGGCTGGAGGTCTCAGGGCGCGTTCGCGATCGCTGCCAGCATGCGCGATCGACTAAGACATCTGGGTCTCGGTAAATGTTGACTCTGGATCAGCTGCTGCAGCGATGCCGAGTTCGGGGCCAGCGCCTGTTGCGGCGCCGAGTGGCCGGGGCATCGAACTGCCAGCGGCGAGATCATTCACGACGAGGGCCTCGGAGAGATCAGGAGCATCGGCGAACGGCATCGCGATGCTCGATTTCGTGCCCGGCGAACGTCGGCGACGCAGCCTCCCGCGTCGGCTTCGAAGATGCCGCGTGATAGGCTTGGGCACTTAGACGAGGATGGGGGCCTGATTTACAGAGAAGACAGCATTTTTGCGCGCCGGCTTCGAGATTTCCTTCAACAGCGTCGCCATGATCTCCTGATGGCGGCGCTGGGCTGTGGCCAGAGGGGTGCGCGACAATCCGCGCCTCCAGTCTGGCCAGGGCGCGGCCGGCGAGGTTCGGAGTTCGCCAAGTCCTTCTTCAGCGAAGCTAGCGTTCGGCGCGCAAGGAGGCGGTGGGCGGGCGACGTCGGTCTCGGGGGGCCGCGGGCAGGGGCATATGTAGGGCTGGCTGGGGCGGCGCCGCGGGCGTCATGGGCCGGGGGAACTCCGGCGGCGGCCGCTGGGCTAGCGGGGTCGGAGGCGCCGCCGCGCGACCCTGCTTGCGCTGGAAGGGCGCCGGCGAATGTGCCGCGAGGGCGCGCGCGAACTTCCCGAACAATTCGGGGCGCAAGCGTCCTGTCTCCAAGCCTGATGGCGAGGAGGCGACGCCGTCAATGAAGAGGGCGATCATCGACAGGAGCGGTAGACGGGACATCATCTTGGAGGGGTCTCCAGCCGGCGAGCGCGAGGCGAACGGCCAGGCCGAGCGCGTCGTGGTAGCTTTCGCGGGCCATGTCTGGACTCTGCTACTGGGTCTTCAGTCCAGATGGGGCCAGCGTCTGCCGCTCGGCCATCCCACTGCACCCTGGGCCATTATTTGGCACGCAGCTTCAGTTGACGATTTCGAGTGGGACTGATGGATGCACTGGAGTGGGGCTACGCACTGGGCGGAAGGGGGAGAAGGCGAGCGCGGCCTTCTGCGGGCGCGTCACGGGCGAGAGGCCCGGCGCGGATGTGAGGAAGAGAGACCTGGATTCGAGGTGCATCGACGGTTTCTACATAGGGCGCTCGAGTCGGAGTGCGACCGCGAGGCTGATCAACGAGGATTGTGTTCAGAGAGCTACTGGACTAAGTTGCCGAGGTCCAGAACGTCCGATGATCTTTGAGGCCCGATATTCTGGGCGTTCAGGGCGGCGTGGTCGGAGTGAGGAGGCAGTTGCTGCAGTGCCTGGGCCCGCTGGAGTCGTTTGCCAGTCGCGGTGCCTCTGGCGCCGCCTGCGTTGCCGCCTCGGGCGTGGGCCCCGGTGGTGAGGGACTTTTACGTCACGCGGGCCATCCCGGCCATGGGGGGCCGCGCTGCCGTCTGCGCGCGCCGCGAAGAGCTGCGAGTTCATGGGCGCCGGGGAGCTGCTGGGCTCACTCGCACTCCTGAATGTCGAGTTCGCGTATTCAATGAGTCGGTGGAGGCTGGTGATGAACGAGCCATCGACTTCCAACGCGAGCGCGCTTAACGCGGTCAAGATGGAGCGGCGGCCGCCGCGGCCGAGGGCCCACCTGGAGGTGGGGCCGCAGTTGCTGGAGGCGAGTATCGGCCAGCGGGGGGGGAGAGGCCGCCAATCTAGTCGCGCAGATCGCGATGGAGCAGGCGAGGTCCGAATCAGTTTCACGGGCGGGGGGGGCGCGTCGCGGCGGGCTGCTGTCCGGGGCGCCGACGGGGGGCGAGCCCCGAAGTCACTGGCGAGGCCACGCTTCCGGGCGCTTGGCGCCGCGAGTTCGGCCTCGAGGAGAGCCGGGGGTTCAACTGCCAGGAGAGGGAGTTCGATTACCAGAAGGATGAGGTGGCCCGCCAAGTAACGAGAAGGCGAGGTTCGCTCCGCAGAGAGCTGGAAGCGGTCGAGCTTCGAGTCAGGCGCCAGCCGAACATGCCGAGAAGAACGTGGGTGGCTTAGATGCGGAGGGCGACGTGCCTCTGGAGTTCTAGTCCTTGGCTGCGAGCAAGTTGTTCAATCTGGGCGGATGTGCCAGTTTCGCGGCGCCAGTGGGACTGTTGCCGGGCGTCGTCGCTGACCTGGAGATTTTGGGCGAGAGCGGCGAGCCGCGTGACGTGAGTTTGAAGGCGAATCCAGTGATGCCTCGGAATGAGATCGATCTTGAGGACGCGTGCCTTATTTGCGCTGCGCCACCGCGCGCGAAGTTCATTCGCGCGCGACATCAGACGGGCGAGGGCGAGGGGGGGCATATCAGACCGCGCGTGAGCCGCGGAATGCGGATGGGCGAGGAGGGGCATGCCAGACTGGCAAGTCCATGGAGCCTGGAGGCGCACCGCGAGGATCAAGAAGGCCATACTTCGGGTCCTCAAGGAGGACCTCATGCGCATACGGGGAGATCAACAG